AAACATTTTTTCTACTCTTCATCGTCTTCGATTAGATGTAACAACATGCAAGCTTCCCTGAATGTTTTCGCATTCTACGTTATTTACTGTTCTTAAACTGACAAAGGATGTAGCTCCCTTAATAACTGTGAGTAACAGTCGTAAATAGTAGCGATCACCGGTAGAAGGGTTACAGTAATACATTCTACCAATAGCAAAACGATTGTTCTTTCTTGGTTTCCACACTTTGGTTGATTTATCCCAGACAAAAGTTTCAGGGAATTGGTGATATAACAATGGGTTGAAGTCTTCCTTGTGTCGATTATCTAAATTCCATTTGAAATATCCCATAAAGGTCGATCCAGTGCTTTCAAGAGTTTCGTTTATTTTATCTTGCGTCCAAAGAGGGTCAAAATAAACGGGCTGTTCTCCAGTAAATGTACAGCTAGTTGGGTGACAGATGGTGTTTCTTCATGCATGGGAAATTCAAATATTCTCCAAGCTGCTTCAACGGGGCTGATATATCGACCATTTAAATATTTCTCAATCTCGTCATTTTCATTCTGCAGACGAATAGTAGTTTGATCGGGACCTTTATAGATATATTTGTTAATATATTTGATAGCCTTGACAGTCCCACAAACTTCAACATTTATATGAGCCTTGTATTTGTTTGAAAGGAACGGATTGTATGGCACAACCCAACAGTTAGTCATATGAAACTCCTCTGTTCTATGGGTTGGATGTCTGATGACATGTGATCTACCATCCATGCTCCTTCGATACAATGGGTATCCGTCATCACTTGCTATTGTTGTTGGTTGATACGGCTTGGGAAATTTTTTTGAGCAGCTAATCTTGCCAAATGCACCTTCAACCATACACGGAGATTTTGTGTTGATTACACCGCAAGGACCTTCCATCATGTTTTTGCTTACTACCAAATAGAGATCAGGTTCGTCGTTCTTGTCAGGAATTTCGGCTGAAATAATTTTATCAATATCCGAAGGTGTATCAAACTTGTTTTCCAAAAAAAGAAGAATATGGCAATGGGGAAGGCCGCGCTTTTGATATTCAATAGTTCTGACAATACCCAAACATTTACCAAAAACATTTTTTTTTCTTTAAATCGTCAAGTAACTCTCTAAGCTTTAAATTGAACACGCGAGCAACAATCTCGGGACGATCGGAAGCAGTTTGCGCAGGAAATAGTTCGTCCTTAATTTCTTTCCAATTAGGGTTGGCAGTGAAGGTGATGAACAAAGATGGTTTGCCATAATATCTGGATATAGCCATAGCATCTTGATAAAGCTTAGCCATAAAGCGGGGCCCACTTGTGAAAATGCTTGGTAAAATAAGCTTTTGGCCTATTTGATCCAAATCTGAATCAGAGTTGTTTGTAGCATCATCCAATCCGTTATAAACGTCGGCGCGGAGAGAGCTTTAGTTTGCCTTGATCCAATCTAATTTTGTTTGCTCACAAACAGCCCAAGCATCTACCGGGTATTGCTGAAAAAGTCTTTTTGAAAAAAAAATGATAGGGTATTCGCTGTTTCTTGTCGAATTTGGGTACGATCCACTTAAAGAATAATTAAGCAAATCGTTTAAATAAATAAACTATGAAATTAAGACAACCTTTGATGTTGCATAGCAGCATACACTTGTATACTGCTATACAACGTCTCCTACTTCGAGTACATACTTCTATATTAAAGATTGCATGATTGACCTAAATACGATATACGAATGACAGTTGGATACAGAATGCTATACCACTGAGTTACGATATCACCGTTCGAGAAGAGAAACTTCTCAGATCAATCAAGAATTATAAGAAAGAGAAACTTAATATTAATAGTTCTCTCAATGGATTAGCTACCCAGAGAGAGAATAGAACAGCTATTAATATAAATGGTTCATTTACTTATATATTGATATAATTATACTGTGGATAAAGACTATAAAGAAATAGTGTATGAATTAATGGATACCTAGCTTCTACAACCAAATATACAAATATCGATAAGACATTTTATATTTGGGATCGTAAATTATTCATTACAAAGATAATGAATAAATGATCAACTATTATGTTCTATTGCCAATGACACTTGACAAACAAGTATGCATCTTTTACAGTAACCGTTGCATGATCCGATAAATAAGTGTCTCGTAATACTAAAGATTTACTAGCATACTCATGCTCCCGATCCACTGATATGAGACAACGTTATCTGGAAACAATTCTAACGAGTAGTATCCATTTAACCCAAGGCGGGAAACAAAGTATAGATCTATTCCAAAATCAGAAAGGTTGACTCATCATTAAAACTCAGGAGAGTTGTGCAATATAAAAAGGATCAATTATTTCATAGCAGCAGAGTTGTTTCAGTCTATTTTTACCCATAATAAAAATATACTTTTATCTCATTACTTTTCTATGTAATTTTTGTCAAATACCACATTTCTAACATGCAGTCTGTATCTGTAAAACGCACGTTGTGTAAGCCTTTTTTTGTCGCTGTCGTCAGATTTGATATCATCATTTGTTGAACCATTAAGTCTTCATCCCCAATGCCATCCATAATCACCTGCTGGAAATAACAAAACGTAATGCAATGGCATGTAGGCGGCATGTGTTTCATTGATTCTTTTAAAAAGTCCATTATTCTCGCCGTTGTTTCTGAAGGTAATCAAAATATCACGATAGCTGGCATCGGAATACTCATTGGGAATGATAGCGGCAATTTCGTTGACAGTAGGCAAATTTTCTGTGCATCTATCATTGCCATCAATTAACTGCATTTTCATTTGAGGATTAAGGCGAATATGCATATTTGCTGCATGATCATCCCCTATTTGTGATTCTGTAGCACTTTTTAAAACTTCATGTGCGTGCTTGTAAATGGTGACGAATAGATTATTGCATTCAACATGGAGCATGATACTCAAACGTTGAATCAGTTGTTCATCAATTCCACCGTTGCGCGTATCGTCCGTTCTAACTCTGGCAGCAAATTCAGGATCATATATATAAAGCTGATTGTACATTGGTGGGCACATTTCATTTGCATTGATTGGACCTTGAAGGTGATATAGCTCACCGTGAACCTGGACGGGCATATATCCACGGGTGCCATTGTTTTGCGGGGTGTTACCAGTTGTACCAAAAGAAGTAGAGGCAAATGCAGCGTTGTGTTGTCTGATATTGTTGAGAAAATGAGATGATTTTCGGTGTGCTCCATTCACTAATTCCTTAAGAAGAGCAGGTGGTTCATTCAAAATTGGCTATTCGACAGATCCTTTTTTACGGCAACTTTCCCATTTAGGTGAAGATCGGGTGTAACATGTCGGTTTTTCTCCTTTCCAGTGAAGTGCACCACAATTGACACATTCAATATCCATTCTTCCAAGGTCTGATTCCTTTAATCTATTTATTTCTGATATATAAGCAGCTGGCTTTCTTACAGTACGACTTGAACGGCTATAGGAGCGACCTCGTTCCTAATGTACCAAAGCAAATATCCGTTTTTTGAAATTGACATTAAATTTAAATTTTATTTACACGGCATGATTCACATGTACGAAATGTATAATTCTCATCAAGGTGAGCTCTGCAATAGGTACAACGTTTTTGAATAACGTGAGGCATAGTAATGATAATAAGAAAAAGAAAGAGCAAATCATTATCAAGGAATTTATAATTATTAAGGAATTTGATTTCGTATACTCATTCACATTAAATGTCAATATCATGGACTTCGTTCCTGGGGGGGTGGGGCAAGCCCCTCCCCCAGACCCCCCTCCCCTATTTTGGGGGATACTCTCCTAAACCCCCTTTAAAAAACAATTAAAGCTGATAACTTTTTATACACTCAATGTTAATTCAAGTTTTTAAATTAAGGCTGAAAACTTGTTCTTCGCTCAATGTCAATTCAAGTTTTGAAATTAAAGCTGTTAAATATTTGTCCACTCAATGCCAATCTACCGTTCTATGATCCTGGGGGGTGGGGAAACCCCCGGACCCCCCTCGGAAATAAATTTTCCAGCTGAGTATAAATTCCGCTGGATTTTTTTTATACGAATTGTAGTATATTATAAGATATAAAAAATAACAAAGAAAGATCCGGCCGCACTCAAGTCAAATCGGCCTTGACGGGGCCATTTGTTTCATAATCCTATGAGACCCACTATTTATATCACCAGAAAAAATAGATTTCATAAAGAAGAAAGGGTGAGATAATAAGTAATTGATGCTGCATATAATGAATTGTTTTGAAATAACAAGCCTTAGAAATTAACTTGTAAAAAATGGCGATAGCTTGTTAATGATATGTATACGCCTCCCTCGTGAACTGTAAAATCTGTAAAGATCTTGCGAATAAACTTGACGTAGTTTGTCTCGGCAAAATTGTCAGATGCTATGGCCAATTTCAAGAAGTATTATAAGTAAAAATCATCGAGTTTCTTTCGTCTGGGACCTTGATGTTGAAATTTATATTGAAGTTGCCAGCCAAAATTATTTAATTCCTTACAGTGACAAAAGATTCTGTCACAGCTAGCGCTATAACCCGGTAATTTTCAACAGAAAAATTGATGGTTCTGTAAAGGGAAACCCGGCGCATTCCCTTTTCTTATTCTTTGTCAAAATCCGTTAATCCAGGCATTTTTATTTATTTATTTAATAAATAAGAGAGTGCAGGCTCGGACTGGACATGTTCAAACTTGGGGATAAAATGAACCAAAAATATGAGACACCAAAAGACAAAAACAATAAAATGGGTTTACACTGTAAAACCACTATAATTTTTTTATTATTCGATGTCCGACGTTTTCTGAACCAAATAAGCGAAACAACGTGTTTTTGTAAAAACACGAACAGTCATTTTCTAAAAAAATGCCCTCGGAAGGACAATCCGGGATTAATTTTGCATGGCTGCCGCACATGTTTTGACGGAAATTTTTTGCAAGAAAGGTAACGTTTCATCCATGAGGTTCTCCAAGCTCAGAGAAGGAGTGTCTTAAATTGTGTTTCTCACATTGGTGTTGTAAGAGTAAACCGTACTCATAGGACCGGAAACGGACGTACCACTTGCATTTTTCCTTGTACGACTGATCATCTCGCTGGTAGAAACAGCGATGCAGTTCTGAGGGATAATACCCATTCCGACTGAAGTATAAAATATTAGAACTGTCGTGAAGCCGTTATGTCATCAATTCAGTAATCGGCGATTGTAACTTCTTCCGCAGTCAATATCTCTTCTACCGCAGCATAACCCCAGTTACTGCGGTTAGCATTCATAACATATAAATATCCTCTCCAATTCTATTCAATAAACATGATGTTTTTATCTTCTTAATCATAAGTCTTAGTTAACTAGGTTATTCCATTTAAATAATATCTTTATTTAAATACTACATAATCTTTCCGGCCAATCACTAGGCTCCCGTTTAGCTACCGATTAGATTTTGATTTTAGAGCATGATGATGTATATTTTAATTTGAAAACGTACCCAAATGCTCATGCATGCCATGGAATGACGAAGCAAACGCCTCCAAATTTCTCTCCGCTGTCTTATCAAACTTACCAACAACAATTGTGAGGTCCTTGATGTTCTCCCAAACATATCGATATACCCCATACCTGAGCTTTGCGGGCTTGTCCGAGAAACCTGAAATTTTTATTTTCTTGTCTTTTATGAGAAGGAAATTTGCTTCATCATCAACCATTGGCAGTGGTTTCACGTTATTTACATTAATAAGTACATTGCGGAAGGCCCTGTTTGAATCGTCAAACGTGAAAGCTAAAATATTGAGTGATCCTAAAATTAAAACATAGTATTTGATTACATCATCAAAGAACATCTAATTATTGACTTACCAGTAAAGTAATGCTTGCTATTAACATAACATTATCGGATAAAATAAAACATCAAAGCTTGGTGAGAAACAAAGACTTTAACTTTGACTCCTAAGTCAGCGCATCAAGACTCTAAAGTAACGTTGCGAGCAGTTATTCTGAATTGCGGGGCGGCGGCAACATAAGCATCAGTTAATTCTCCAACAAACATTCTATTTTGTTATTTTTCATAAAAGATAACGAGGCTTTTTCAAACCAGAACTCCGTTTCGGAACTTTTTTTTTGCTATTAGTTGCCTGATCAGCCCAAAATTTTCCCGTGGTGTGAGAGAAACATTAAAACTGGTTCACCACACTTTTGTCATCATTAAAGACCAATATTTTTGAAAAGATACTAATTGAATTATGATTTAAATAAGAATATAGACTTTATAATTAAAAGAAAAAAGCGAGTCCACGATTTTAGCAAGCTCAAAATTTTAATTTTTATTTTCCGCCAATAGTATTGTTCCGTTTAGAGTACTGGAATCCCTCGGAACTTGAGATATGTTTTGTTTGCAGTCCAAATTGAGTAACTGCACGCATAGAATGGCATACTATCAGATCTAAGTCTGAGGACAGTTATTGTTAACCTCGAAAGGTAAAAAAGGAATAAACTAAACTTTATGTACTAACTAAAAATGCCTCCTAGTAAGTAGATGTAATTTAGAGTATTTTGGCAAAAGATCCAAATATTTGTTTTAAAAACGTATGTCTTGGAAGGGTCATACTTTTTGGATAAAGTACGCAGTGCCATAACGTGTTAAATCCAAGCCTAGATCAAATATGATAAAGTATTAAACGCAAAAAAGACGTGTGATGTCATAAAAACTTGCCCGCCATTCGCCAACGACGTTCTTCACCCCAAAAAAACAAGAAAAAAAGAACTGACATGCTATATAAAAAAAACTCACAATTTCTTTTGCAAATCGTAATAACAAAAATTCGATGCTTTCTATTATGTGATTTTTGCATTTTTATTAACCAATCCTTCGGCCAAATTATTCAGAGGAGCTGGGGAATACGAAATGTCTTTACTGGGAAATTCGACTTCAAACAATTGACCAGTTTTTTTCGAAAAAAAAAAAGTAACCAGATTTTTAAACATTCCATAAATTGATAGTGAAAGCAGGGTAATAATGTAAAGAGAGATAAAAAAATATTTGTCCACGTAAACGTATCTCAATCTTTGATTGAAACTCTTTTTTTTTTTCATTTTTTTAAAAAAAACATTCTTTGGATATTTGGCACAATAACTACAAATTGATAAATTCGTTTTCAGTCTAGTGCCTTCGTCGAACCCTAGTAATTTCAATACTGTAGTATCGTCCTTACACCGAAAGCACAATGGTTTCAAATATACAGATAGGTCGAAACAGTGCAAAGCTACCAGGTCCTATGGTTTAAATTAGTTGTCTCGGGTACTGGTATGGATTGAAATGGGTTACTTTCGGGCCAAAACTATTAGGGTATACCGTATAAAAAGTTCGGGTTCGGGTTGGGGTGAATTCGGTTTTCGGACTTAGAGTCAGATTTTCCATTATATTTTTAGCTCCTTCGAAAGAGCGCAAAAAAATAAGAAGATTTTATTATTTATAATGTATGTGTTAATAAGGCAGGTCAACGCTAAACGGGGTTTAAAAAGATTAAAATATCTCTAAGCAGAAAAAATGTTCGGGTTGGAACTTTGATGTAGGGGTTTGTTATGGTAACGTTGGAAATAATGGGCATGTTATATTTCATTCGAGAGAGCGTAAAATACTCTGCAACAAAACGTAAAAAATGGCTATTCCCGATTTGGAAAGCAATAATTAATCGGGGATTTAGATGATTTTCAGGCATTCCACTGTGGAAATTCCATTTTCTGGGATCTGCACTCACCACACATAGCGTATATTACCTTATTTCAATCAAAATTAAAAAATAAACAGATTTATTTATCACATCACGGTTTTCAACTACATTAAGCGTAATTTGACGTCTTTGAAAAAAAATATATTTAAACGCAAATAAGGACTGAGTTACTATGGCAAACATGCCCAGATATACACTATCATAACTAGTTAATGGTTGTTATTGAGGCACAGATTATTTATAAATATTAAACAAAGTGGCCTATTATTTATTCAAAACGAACCTGTTAGGCCTGATGCTTTTTTGACTTTGAGTTATCCATCAATCGGAAGTAGATGGAGTATTTACGCCTGGTTTCAGCATTTGACTGTGCGAAACACAGCGCAAATAGATTTAAACTTATATAAGTCACGTAGAGTTTAGGAAAAAAATTGGCTTAGTTGTTCCTTGTTATTTTTTTATTTTATTTTGATGTGGAATTTAATAGAATAACTGCTATTAATTGGTGGAGCACTTGCTAGTGCATGAATTTCCCAAAGAGGATCCAGATTGAATAAATATCGACAAGCTTATGGAGACATTATCAAAAAAAAAATGCTTAAGTCGCTCTGTTATACTTTTTAATTAATATTAGAGTCAGCATTGTATTTATTTTAGTGATGGGGTGCATTTCAAAGTTATGCCATACAAACAAATTAAATTTAAAGGAAATTTAAAAAGATATTTAGGTACAACATGGGGCATAAGGGATTTTTATTAAAAAGGCATAGTCCGAGTGTAAGCAATATAATTGAAGGATGAATAAAAAAAGGAGAGTAAAAAAAAGTAAAGATGTAAATGAATGACGTAATACGGTAGCATTTGTAAAAAGTGCCCATGTGACTGCTTTGAAAAAAAAGTGAAAAGTGTCGTGTACGTTCCCAGTGATAACTGCTTTGGAAAACGGTAGAATTTGAAAAAAGTGAAAAGTGTCGTGTCCCAAAAAGTTCCCAGTGATAACTGCTTCGGAAAAAGTGTAAAGTGTCGTGTCCCAAAAAGTTTCCAGTGATAGCTGCTTTGAAAACGGTAGAATTTGAAAAAAGTGAAAAGTGTCGTGTCCCAAAAAGTTCCCAGTGATAACTGCTTTGGAAAACGGTAGAATTTGAAAAAAGTGTAAAGTGTCGTGTCCCAAAAAGTTCCCAGTGATAGCTGCTTTGAAAACGGTAGAATTTGAAAAAAGTGAAAAGTGTCGTGTCCCAAAAAGTTCCCAGTGATAACTGCTTTGAAAAAAGTAAAAAGTGCCGTGCCGTGCCCAGGTCCAGATACATCGTACAATATTCGTTTTGCAAATGTTTGTAATGTTTGTAATATAGTAGATGACAGTAAATCATCTGAAAAGCTCAATCAGAGAGTTGGGGGACTTAATATATGTCGAATTACTATTACTATTAGAATAATACCTAGAGAGTATGAGTATTTGGGTAAGTCTCTTGCTGAGAAATCAATGACAAACGTAATGTCAGATGAAAACTGCTTTGAAAAGAAAAAAGAAAAAACAGATGATTTACTACGGGAGCATTTGAAAAATGAACTTCTTTTGTTCTTTGTTCTTTGAACTTCAAATAAATAAAAAAAAAAAAATGTGCTTTGTCCCTGTACTGCTTTGATTTATAACTTTATCAATATCTACAACCCGACAAATAAAAAAGTTGTCGGAGTTTAACATAAAAAAAATTAAAAAATTACAGCAACCAGTATTCCCATGTGGTCCCCCACCATAGTACTGACTGGTCCAGATATTGCTTAACTGCGGAGATCGGACGGGATGATGATGATGAAAATTTATATTTATTTAAAGTATCTAATTGTTGGCGTTTTTACAAACTTGTAACTATACTGTGGGGTGAAAGACTTTGTGGGGTAAAGTCTTAAAAAGGTGGGTAGCTTTGGCGTTGGGTAGTATTAGAGGGGGAGAGATAGAAAGAGGAGGTGGAAAAGAAGGAAAGAGGAAAGGAAAAAAAAATAGGGCGGTTTGTATGTTGGTTTGGGGTGTATGGGTTATATGGTTGGTTGTTTTTGTTTGTGAGGTTTTGGTTTGGGGGGATTGGTGTATTAAGCCATTTGAGGAAGAGGTCTTGATCGGGTGGTGTGAGTTGTAGTGGGGCGTCTTGGACAATGGAGTCAAGGGTTAGGAGGGTTCGTTGGAGGAGTGGCCGGTGGTTCCAATGTTCAGCAATGTTGGTGCGTTCAGCAGGTTCTATTCGATGGGATGGTAGGGTGGTTAAGAGTTGTAGGTTAAGCGGGGAGTATGTTGTACAATTTTCATCCGGGTGTTCAGGAGTGTTGAATAATCGGCAGTGTATAATGTGTTGTCGTGTTAATGTGCCTTCATTGCATGGACAGGATTTGGGTTTACCGGGTAGCCAGCCACGTAGCCATCGGATGATTCGGTATTGTGTGGATTTGTTGAAGCGGTGTTGTAGGATGGGGTGGGGGTAGGAGCTATCGGGTATAGCGGATGCGAGTAACCCGGGTTGTTGTTTTTTTCTGAGTTGTTGTAGCATGAATTGGTGGAGGAGTAGGTGGGTTGGGAGAGTTGATGTGTTGAGGAGAGGCCAGAGTTGGTTATGCCGTTTTAGTCGGGCCCATGGGGTTGTAGTTGTCGCCATGCGGGGTAGTAGTTGTGCGAGTAGGGAGTCAGGAGGTTGATATTGGGATCGGTGGATGTATTTTGCCTCCAGGATGGAGGCGCGGGTGTACATGGTGGGTAGTCCGGTAAGTTTTTGGATGACTTCGATTTCCGAGGTTGGGAAGCGTACCCATACGCTACAACGGTTTAGTGCTGATCATATCGGTTATTTGGGTCCCGCAAATGTTGTTCATTTGTTTTGTTAAATATTCTTCTCTTCTTTCTTCTAGAGTCTGAACTAGAATCCATGGAAAGCTTGTATGATTTATTCACGTTTGCGTGCCCCAGAACCACTGAAGCAGCGTAATCGTTAGCCATTCGACGGTTTGAAAACATATACCTTTTATTTCTGGATGCCTGCACGACTTCATGAATTCTATTTTTGCAGTTACACAATCAATGATCATGTGATTGATTTATGACTGTATTTGTTTTACCTTTGGTTTTCAAGAGACTGAGAGTTAAATAGGTTTCGAATCCTCCAACGGTGCACACATCCCTTGTTGGAAGTCTTGTGTAACTATCTTGAATGTTTGAGGTTGCGCGGCTTCGAAGTTCGCATCTTCTTTGCTAATGTATGCCGGAGCGGGACCTGTCATTATTAAAATAAATCATCACTGAATGAATCGTATGCTTTGTTTCATGCTCTATACTTACATATACGATGGGTTGCTTATATTGAATGAATGCTGTATAATGAGCGGCTTATTTTGTAAAAGATCTTCTTCGCAATCAACCGCACATATGATATCATGAACACCTATAAAGACAATCACGTATATACATTCGTTAAAATCTTATTATATCGGGATAGACATTTTACATTGCAGATAGACCTGGATCAATTCCAATGATGCGATCTTCCATTGTGATGCCGGTGGAGTTTTGGGATAACAAGTACAGGCCTTTGTTTCTTCCTGCGAGGTTAATGTTTTATTTTTGGAGATTGACATTGTCTTTGTTCATTGGAGCCCAGTCTGTTTTGATTTTTTCGAAAGGCATGGAAGCCATATGTTCATCAGGTGGTACTGAAAATGTTAACCGACTTTGCTTGTCTGAGTTACATTTGGCAGGAGCATGAGACAGGCTTTGATAGTTAAGATGTCGCTTCTTTTCAACTTTATATAGGTCAAACATATTTTCACAGAGATCATTTTTTACGTCATATTGGGTATACACTTCTTTAGACTGGTGGTAGTATATTACAGCATCACTACCCAATAATTGGCGTGGTATATAATGGTTACCACTACCATTTAAGTTTCGTTTATAACCTAATGCGAAAATGCCATACATTGCTTTAGGCCCGTAAATACGAGCATACGATAATGAGTATGAAGCTTCCGGTAAAAAACTCCAGGTCTTTACTTCCCATGCTTCATGTTACAACCACTCTTTCAATAGTCAGAAACTAACAAGCAGATATCTTAAAGGATATTGATAGTTTTTTTTTGTATTTATTGACTTTATCGTAGTTGCTGGATCCATATTCGAAATCGTATATGACTTTTATGTGGTTATGTACTTTTTCAAAATCTCGTATATTTGCTATTCTGATTTATGCTTGACGAAATGACATGGGAGAAACAATAGCTACTGAAGCTTGTCCAGCTACATTTTTTTGTTATAAGATATTAGGTGAGACACAATATAATTTTATTTGGAAGTTACCTAGAGTTTTTACAGGGACAGATGCTCGGTTTTGCTGAAGGCAATAGTTTAAAAACCATCTAAAAGACGAATATTCCAAAGCTTGAAGTTGAGTAAATGCACACCCCTAAGTGGGACCTTTGAAAAGCAAAATCCTATACCAGTAAAGGGGTATATAATGATGTTTATTTTGTTATATTTGTGGCGGGGTCTGTATACTCATTTAATATTTGTACTTTCATAGAAAATTCGGAGAGTAATCGCTCAAAGAGCTCTTGTTATACCAGTTGATGAGTACAATACATCTCAAAAATGCTGTCACAGTCTTCAACAAACAAGAAACATCAATTATTCCGAGATTTCGTACATGCAACAACCGAGACTTCAATGCAAACTTACGTGCCTGTAACATAACGCAAGGCTATAATATATAATATTTTAACATGCGTAATGCTCTCACGTTATTTAGAAACACCAATTACAAGTACCGTGAAGAAAAAAAGAAATCATCTGAAATGTTTTGACGATGAAGACAACATTTAATGGAACACCGCGGATTGTTATCAGCCAGAAGAAGGTAAAAAATCTTGCGCTTATTCCATGGTGACTGATAGAGAAACTTTGGTTATATTTATTATAGGATCCTTCCAAAATGTTTACCCTCTGAAATTGTTTCAACATTGCCAACAAGAAGGTTCGCCCTGTGTAAGTCGTTTTGTCCAATTTTTATCCGCGACGGCATTCGACTAATACGTTTCCTACAGATATGGAACAGAGACGTAAACGCTTCCTGCAATATCAAAACGCTGTTGACGAGATACATAAGATCTGGTTTTGCTTTAGATTCCAGGTATACACAGTTGACAAGAACAAGACAAGAAGGCCATTAAACATAATTACTTAACTAGGCACTATTCCATATACATACACATATACTTACAATATATACTCCACTCAAATAAATTTGTGAACTTATCAATAAATACATATTATACTGCATTTATTATCCAATAATAATAAAACCATTGTATCGACATAAGGTATAGCATCTGGTGACCGTAGAAGAAGAGTATTAGTATGTATAAGTCTGACATGTGCTTCAATAAAAAATGCTTGTTTACAATACGTAGAGTGCATCTTCACTGTAATGTGCCAAAACGTAATCTGTGACATTTTTTAGCATTCATCTCCGACTAGTACAAGTAATATAAAAGGAAATTTATTCATAGCCAGATTTTGTTAATGTGGGAAGGATTTTTTTTTTTTTTTTTATGAACAAAATTTTTAGAAAGGTACAAAAATAAACCAAACTTCTAAATTCACATTTCTATTTGTCCTTTTTAAAGCTCCCGTGAAGTAATACGCTCAAAAACAGTAACCCTTTTGATGCGTTTGTAATTTTAAAGAACGTTCCATCTAATATTACTGAAGTAAACAAAGTTTTCATGTTGTAGACGTTCTTACTTAATGTATATCTACGATTTCATACATCTTTTTTGTGTTTTACACTTCACCATATTTGATCTCAGTTTAGATTTAACAGGCTATGGCACTGAGTACTTTATCTAACGAATATGACCTTTCAAGTACATAAATTAAATAAACAACTAGTTGGATCTATTTTCAAAATACTCCAAATTATATCTTTTAAATATGAAGCGTTTCTACTTAGTACATAAAGTTTTTTTTATCTTTTTTATGCCTTACAAGGTCGATCATATTTGATCTCAGACTATGATTTAACGGGTTGTGGCACTGTGTACTTTATCTAACGAATACGACCCTTCAAATACATAAATTAAAATAAACAACTAGTTAGATCTATTTTCAAAATACTCTAAATTATATCTTTTAAATACGAAGCGTTTCTACTTAGTACATAAAGTTTGTTTTATCCTTTTTGTGCCTTACAGGGTTGATCATATTTGATCTCAGACTATGATTTAACGGGTTGTGGCACTGAGCACTTTATGCAACAAATACGATCCTTCAAATACATAAATTATTTATACAACTAGTTGGATCTATTTCCAAAATACTCTAAATTATACGAGGTTTTTTCAAACCAAACCTCCGTTTCGGTAAAAATTTTGACCTTCGCTGCGCTACGGTAAATTTTTGACCTTCACTATGGTTCGGTACGCTGCGCTTTGAAAAAACCTCGTGCTGCCGCAGGCCTGTTAAAAATGAATATGGAATAAAAATTTATTTAAATGAAAAAAAAAAAAAGATGTGCATGAGGACGATGGAAATATATTAATTTCGAAATATTTCTTTGTAAACAACATTGATGTGTATGCTCCTGGTTCACCTTCTATGGTTGAAATTTCAGCAGGAATTAAAATTTTGATGTCACTTGGTCTTTTTACTCGCGATAAGGCAACATATAATTGTCCGTGCGAAAATACAGGTGTTGGAAGGAAAAGGCCAACTGAGTCTAATGTTTGACCTTGCGACTTGTTAATTGTCATTGCAAATGCTGGTCTAATTGGGAATTGACACCTCTTAAACTCAACACCGACTTGTTCAACAGTGGAACACAAAGTAATTCTGGGGATAAGAAAAATATTTCCCTCGTATGGACCCGTTGCTACTTCAGCCTGAATAGTGTGAAGAAGAAAAGCCTTACAAATAAGTCTTGTACCGTTACACACACCCTGGGCAGGTGCCAGATTACGAAGCATCATAATTGGAGAGCCGATTTTCAGTTTTAACTGATGCGGTGGAAGACTACCACACTCCAACGAATTCATAAACTCTGGGGGTAATGTAAGAGCATCATTGTCTGAGAGAGCTGTGTCAGTGCTAAAAAAAGTGGTATATTCTCCTGGAAATTTTTCCAAAACATGATCGTTGACATCCGATACAAAAGCATTAGTCGGTGCGAGTATAGCTTTGGACATTAAAATCAAAGAGTCAACATCAGCTTCGTTCTCAAAATCGTTGTAAACATGACGACATAAATTGGCAATGCTGTTTCCGGGTAAAACCATTTCGCTCGGCAAACATATTGTATTTAGAGTATTTGGATACACAGGGTATTGCCCTTTTCCAATACGTAAAAGAAAAGATGAAAATTCTTCAAGCTCTTGAGCTGATTCGACACTATCTACCAATTGGGCTTGTTGAACACGCATATTTATAGACAGTCGTAACTGTTTTATGTGCCTAAAAAGATGAGACGTAATCATACATGCTTGAATTATATCATCTTTGGTACCCTTTGGAACGACAGGCAAGACTTGTCGAAAATCCCCACCAAAAACAATCAATTTTCCACCAAAAGGAACCCTGCCGAGACGTTCATCTTGATGTCTCATGATGTCTCTAAAACTTCTATCGACAGTTTCTAAAACATCACGACTAATCATGGAAGCTTCATCCCATACAATTAAAGACGATGAAGCTATCAATGCGGCGTTGTTACTTCTTGGTTTTAAAAAACACATGGATGCT